ATGAATGGCCAAACCACTTTCCTATAAGTAATCCCTATACCAGGATATATATTTATTAATTTTTCTGTATTTATTATATTTTCAGTCTGTTATATATATATATATATATATATATATATATATATATATATATATATATATATTATAAATTAATTGATTTAAAATATGTTTTTTTTTCGCTACACAGTTCCAACCATGTTTCAAAATATGTTTTGAAACATGGTTTAAAACTGTGTAGCGAAACCATATTTTAAATCAATTAATTTATAATATTAATGCTCTGTAAATTTACATTGAGCACTATTTTGTAAAATAAAAATATCTATAAGAACACCGGATTTTATATCTTACTGTTCTTTCTTTTTATATATATATATATATATATATATATATATATATATATATATATAATTATTCCTTATGCTGTCTCGTTTCTGGTTTCTCCATATCTGCTCTTTTTTTTTCTACCCCACTTTCTTTCTTTCTTTTTTTTTTTTTTTTCTTTTTTTTTTTTTCTTTCTTATTTCTTTCTTTCTTTCTTTCTAACTCTATTTACATGTATTTATCTGTGTATCTATGACTATATATATATATATATATATATATATATATATATATATATATATATATATATATTACACCCAATCCTATCTATCTATCTATCTATCTATCTATCTATCTATCTAGGTCGCTTTTCTACCTATATCGCTTTCTATCTATTTATCTATCCATCTCCTATCACTGCGCTTTTTTATCTAACAATCTCATCTCTTTTATCTATCTATCTATCTATCTATCTATCTATCTATCTCGTTCTATTCATTAACTTTCTATTCGCAGTTTTTTTTTATATCTATGTATGTGGCTATCTAGCTACCTACCTAGCTATCGATCTAAATATCTCAGTGTATTCATATTTAAGTGTTTTCATGTCTGTCTGCCACTCTGTTTATCGCAGTGTTTTCATATCTATCTATCTATCTATCTATCTATCTATCTATCTATCTATCTATCTATCTAAGCCGATTCATATCTATCTATCTATCTATCTATCTATCTATCTATCTAAGCCTATTCATTACTATCTATCTATCTAAGCCTATTCATATCTATCTATCTATCTATCTAAGCCGATTCATATCTATCTATCTATCTATCTATCTATCTATCTATCTATCTAATTCTATTCATTATCTATCGATCTATCTAAGTCTCTGGCTATATCTCTCTTTCTGTCTTGCTTTTTTAATTTTATTCATTATCTATCTATCTATCTATCTATCTATCTATCTATCTATCTATCTATCACATAATGTCCACATCTAGTTACTACATCTATATTAATCAGCATTTCCCTAAAACGAATGCAGTGCACTTTTTATAATGTAAATTTTAAGGCGATCTATTTTGCAGCAGCTGATAACGCCTAAGTGTATCAGAAATTCTTCATCATCGCGCTGTTGTCTTTCTTACACAATTTCACGCGCATGTCCATCCAGGTGGATGGTCAAAAAATATGTCCGTAACCCCGACCCTCACCCTCATCCTTTCCCATGCATTTTTCTTCTTTTCATTTCAGATTCTAACTATGTACCCATATTTAGAACACTGCACGACGCCCGGAGGCCATATGACAGCCCATCTTCGCTGAGAATTCACAGTTTTAACCTTGCATGGGGTCAGTGACGAGCGACAATCGCAGTATGGAGTTTTCCAATCCAACTACACGCTTCTCTGTCCAAGCTTTCTACTTTCATCACGTGACATTTGCACCCCTTAGCTAATTTCTTTTCAGCGTTTCATTTATATTTTTTGTTCGGCTTTTTTTTTTTTTTTTTTTTTTTTTTTGGTCATTCGATCTTATTTCTTGTCATTTTTTTGTCTTCAGGCTTTTAGACGCGACAATCGCTAAGTCCAATTGTGTGACACGTGGACAGTTGTGGCGTGTGTGGAGCTAGGAAGAATGAAAAAAAAGGAAGAAAATGATAGAATGATTTCATGAATTACCTTATCTTAGTCTCATTCTTCCTTTTCACGTCTCCAGCCGACATCATTTTTAGTTTATTACCGTTGATTTTTCGCCCAGCCTGGACTGACATGGTGTGATCTGAAGTGAACCGATCGCTCAGGCCTTTTTCGTTAATTTACGGCCAAATCAGAGATAATCGGCGAATTATTTTATATAATCTTTTTTTTTATGCGTTTACTTACCGAAGTTTCCAGTCAATGATGAGAACCATATATTCTGTCTTTTGGCAGATTAATATGTGATTTCTTTTTTCTTTAAGATATGAGGTTAGATGTATGTCTTTTGCTAAGAGAAATGAACGTGTTTTAAAAAAACACAAATCAATTTCAACACGATGCATTTGAGCAGGCGTTATTCTTTTTACCTTCATCTTTGAAAAAAGCGGGGCCCTCTGACGTGGTCTAATGGTTAGCAAGCTTGTCTCGCTATAACAATTACGACCAAGTAATGAGTTCCACACTTTCGGCCTTGTGTCAGATCTAAGCTAAACTTTAAAAATCATTTGGGTACTTCGACGTGATGTAATGATTAGCAAGCTTGTCTCGCTACATCAATTACGACCGAGTAGTGAGTTCGACATCATTGGCTGCTCCACACTTTGTGCCACATCTAAGTTACTCTGAGAAAATCATTTGATCCCTTCGATGTAATCTAATGCTTCGACTTTCACTAGGTGCTCCATAATTACGGCCTTGTGCCACATCTAAGCTACGCTTAGAAAATCACCATAACTGAATAAAACGTGACGTTTCAAGCGACATGCTTAGTTTGTCTCGCTGATTTATTCATATGTTTATTGTCTTCGACCCCTAAAGGAAACGTCACTATTATATCTCAGGACTATCCTAACATTAGTAAAAATGATATAGCCTTATAGAATAGTATACTCATCTTCTGTGAGTTCGATCCTTACTTGGGAGTCGCATTATTATTATTTTATGCAATACGTTTTTTTTTTTTTTTTTTTTTTTTTTTTTGTTCAATTTACTCTAAGCAATGCGGTAATGCCACTAAGACACAAGGGGCCACTGGAAGTAAGAGACAATGAAAAGTCTTTAGACGTTACCGGGAACGCAATTCTAAACAGGAAATAAAGGATAAATCTCTACTTCCGTCCGAAAGATCGGGAGAATGTGAACAGGACAATAGGCGAACTTTCCCGATTCCTTCTAAAGTAGGGCCTGCATAATGGTTGGCCTGTCTCTAAAGAGTTTGATCCTTATAGTAAACTGTATTAATATGTCATACGTAGCAAAATATTTTATAAGGGAGAACCCACTAATGATTTGTATACCTGTCGTTTCTTTTTTTTACGAATATTCATCCTATAGACGGTCCAAGAACTACACAATCTACATGAATTAATTTGTTATATAGTCTAGTTTAGTTTCGTCTGTTTGGTTACCTGCATATCTATTCCTTACGGTTCATTTAATGCCAATATGTAATTTTCTTGGGAGCTTTGGTAATTTATTAAAATATATATTGCTGGTAATTTTCTCTTCTTATTCCAATAATGAACTGATAGTAACATTTTTACTACAAATATGTATTGCTAGTATTCTTAATAGAAAAATGTATTGCTAGTATTCTTACTAGAAAAATGTATTGCTAGTATTCTTACTAGAAAAATGTATTGCTAGTATTCTTACTAGAAAAATGTATTGCTAGTATTCTTACTACAAATATGTATTGCTAGTATTCTTACTGCAAAAATGTATTGCTAGTATTCTTATTACAAATATGTATTGCTAGTATTCTTACTGCAAAAATGTATTGCTAGTATTCTTACTACAAATATGTATTGCTAGTATTTTTACTACAAAAATGTATTTTTATACTTTCATAATGTTTTGACCCCCGTTTAGAGGTTCACTATTTACCCAGAACTGGGACCCCCTAACAGGTGTTACCACCCTGGGTCAAGAGGGATCTAGGAACACCAGCAATTAAAAGATGGTTTCACTCTCTTCAAAACCTCCTGATCAGAGGCCTTGATGTCGGATGTATTTTATCGTCATACCCAGCACAGTGCTCCATGGAGGTTATAGTAACATATGCAGTATATATACAGGTTGAGGGCACCTCGGCATGGTGTAATGGTTAACAAGCTTGTCTCGCTAGATCAGTTACAACTGAAAAGTGAGTTCGATCCTCACTAGATGCCCCATACTTTCCGCTTTGCGGCACATCTAAGCTATGCTTGGAAAATAACTATATACAGGGTGAGGCAGGACACCTCAAGGTAGTGTAATAGCCAGCTTGTCTCGCTAGAACAATTGCGCTTGAGTAGTGAGTTCGATCTTCACTGGGTGCCTCATACATTCGGTTTTGCCACATCTGAACTATGCTTGTAAAATTACTATATACAAGGTGAGGCAAAAGTCGTGCACCATTGGGATAACTTATTAAAAATTTTGTTATGAAAGTATATAGTTGTGAAAATTTTAAAAGATTAGAAAATTTCTTGTCGTCGTTACTGATTTGAATTCTTTTAAACGGGGTAGATTATATTCCAATTTGATTATATTCAACCATAAGTCCTCTGTTTAATTTTTTTGTATATTGCTAGTATTCAAATCTTAGACAAATACAGTAAGAATGAAACAAACTGTCGTTTGAAATGAATACAGTAAAAATTACCTACAGTGCAATGAGCAATATGGAGAAGATTGTTAAGGAGCATAACCAGAGTGTAGTGAGGTAAATCTACAAGTAAAACCAAACATTTAAATGTAGAACAACTGAAAATTGCCCATTTAATGCGCAATATTTGACTAACAATGTAATCGAATCAAACCATAGAATATTCGGCACAAATTCACAAGGACCTCATTATATAAAAATCGGTTGAGAGACATGCCGTGCCAGCCGAAATTCGAACTAGTTTCGTCGATTCTGATATAGCAGTATTTATGAGACACAACAGCTAAAACTTAATAGTAACAAATAATTAAAAAGTAATTGGCGATCATTGAAAGGTAACGAAAAAGGAGAGTAAGTCGTGGAAAAAGGAGAGTATGTCGATAGAAAAGGAACGTATAGTATGAGAGACGGAGAGTGTAGGTGAAAAATTAGAGTATGTAGAAAGAAAAGAAGAGTATAAAATGAAACAAGGAGAGGATAAGGTGAGAAAAGGAAAGTTTTGACGAAAGAAAAGGAGAGTATGAAATGAGAAAAGGAGAGTACGATTAAACAAAAGGAGAGTATGACTAAAGAAAAGGAGAGACAGTTATTTGCCATACGTGATACACGCTGAGGCGATCATGTATCTTTCGATACATGAATGATGAGGCAGATTTTTTTTCCTACAGCAGGTTGCCATTTCTTTCTGCGGTAGACTAGTTGCCATCCAAGACTATAGAATCCGGTCTGTCCTGCTATTTATCCATAGCTGGGGGGAAGAAGAGAATCCATACCTTTTCCCAAGGGTATTAGCACGTAAGTGAATGTAATGGATTCGACAGGAATTCGAACTTGGCTCTCCGATTCCTCAATCCGAGCCGCTATCCATTACTTCACCGTGAAGATTAGGAAATGAGAACAGGAGAGTATGACTAAAGAAAAGAAGCGTAGGAAATGAGCAAAGGAGAGTAGAAAATGAAAAAAGGAGAGCAGGAAATGAGAAAAGGAGAGTACGACTAAAGAAAAGGAGAGTAGGAAATGAAAAAAGGAGAGTATGACTAAAGAAAAGGAGAGTAGGAAATGAAAAAAGGAGAGTATGACTAAAGAAAAGGAGAGTAGGAAATGAAAAAAGGAGAGTATGACTAAAGAAAAGGAGCGTAGGAAATGAGCAAAGGAGAGTAGGGAATGAAAAAAGAAAAGCAGGAAATGAGAAAAGGAGAGTACGACTAAAGAAAAGGAGAGTAGGAAATGAAAAAAGGAGAGTATGACTAAAGAAAAGGAGAATAGGAAATGAAAAAAAGGAGAGTATGACTAAAGAAAAGGAGCGTAGGAAATGAGCAAAGGAGAGTAGAAAATGAAAAAAGGAGAGCAGGAAATGAGAAAAGGAGAGTACGACTAAAGAAAAGGAGAGTAGAAAATGAGAAAAGGAGAGTACGACTAAAGAAAAGAGAGTAGGAAATGAAAAAAGGAGAGTATGACTAAAGAAATGGAGAGTAGGAAATGAAAAAAGGAGAGTATGACTAAAGAAAAGGAGAGTAGGAAAGGAAAAAAGGAGAGTATGACTAAAGAAAAGGAGAGTAGGAAATGAAAAAAGGAGAGTATGACTAAAGAAAAGGAGCGTAGGAAATGAGCAAAGGAGAGTAGGGAATGAAAAAAGGAGAGCAGGAAATGAGAAAAGGAGAGCAGGAAATGAGAAAAGGAGAGTACGACTAAAGAAAAGGAGAGTAGGAAATGAAAAAAGGAGAGTATGACTAAAGAAAAGGAGAGTAGGAAATGAAAAAAGGAGAGTATGACTAAAGAAAAGGAGAGTAGGAAATGAGCAAAGGAGAGTAGGAAATGAAAAAAGGAGAGCAGGAAATGAGAAAAGGAGAGTACGACTAAAGAAAAGGAGAGTAGAAAATAAGAAAAGGAGACTACGACTAAAGAAAAGAGAGTAGGAAATGAAAAAAGGAGAGTATGACTAAAGAAATGGAGAGTAGGAAATGAGAAAAGGAGAGTATGACTAAAGAAAAGGAGAGTAGGAAATGAAAAAAGGAGAGTATGACTAAAGAAAAGGAGAGTAGGAAATGAAAAAAGGAGAGTATGACTAAAGAAAAGGAGCGTAGGAAATGAAAAAAGGAGAGTATGACTAAAGAAAAGGAGAGTAGGAAATGAAAAAAGGAGAGTATGACTAAAGAAAAGGAGAGTAGGAAATGAAAAAAAGGAGAGTATGAATAAAGAAAAGTAGAGTAGGAAATGAAAAAAGGAGAGTATGACTAAAGAAAAGGAGAGTAGGAAATGAAAAAAGGAGAGTATGACTAAAGAAAAGGAGAATAGGAAATGATAAAAGGAGAGTATGACTAAAGAAGAGGAGAGTAGGAAATGAGAAAAGGAGAGTACGACTAAAGAAAAGGAGAATACGACTAAAGAAAAGGGGAGTAGGAAATGAGAAAAGCAGATTATAACTAAACAAAAGTAGAGTAGGAAATGAGAAAAGGAGAGTAGGAAATGAGAAAAAGAGAGTTGGACAAGAGAAAAGGACGGTATGACTAAAGAAAAGGAAAGTATGACTAAAGAAAAGGAGAGTAAGAAATGAGAAAAAGGAGAGTACGACTAAAGAAAAGGAGAGTAGGAAATGAGAAAAAGAGAGTTGGACAAGAGAAAAGAAGAGTATGACTAAAGAAAAGGAGAATAGGAAATGAGAAAAAGTGATTATAACTAAAGAAAAGGAGAGCAGGAAATGAGAAAAGAAGAGTATGAAATGAGAAAAGGAGAGTTGGACGAGAGAAAAGGACAGTATGACTAAAAAAAGGAGAGTATGACTAAAGAAAAGGAGAGTAGGAAATGGGAAAAAGAAAGTATGACTTAAGTAAAGGACAGTATGACCAGAGAAAAGGAAAGTATGATTAAAGAAAAAGGAGTGTATGCTGGTACAGAAGGAAATTAAAACGGGAGAAAAGGAGAGTATAAATTGCAAGTCAAAGAGAAAAATGGCGTATGTGGATGAAAAAAAGGATGATGAATGAATGGGATGAATTGAGTAGAGGATGATGCGAGGAAAAGATAAATAAGGATGCTTCAAGAAAGAAATCAAGTAATGTCAAAGGATGGGGAAATATGGCATTAAGCAAGTCAATGAAGAAATGGAAAAGAAAGAAAGAAAAAAAGAATGAATTGAAAGAAAGATAGAAAGAAAGTACGCAACTTAAGCGTGAAAGGTAGTCAGCCAGAGAAATTCTCCTTATAGACCGGGAAAAACGTCACGTCCAACATTTCATTCGTTATAGACCCCAGAGCTTTCAGAAAAAAAACGAAAATAAATAAAAAAAAATCTCATATGCATTATATATATATATATATATATATATATATATATATATATATATGTGTGTGTGTGTGTGTGTGTGTGTGTAAACCTATTAATTTTGTGAAAGACACACTTACCAAACCCTCAACTTAACAACACTAACGACGCTCGTTTCTCGGCCCAATATTCTTCTACTCTCAAGCGAAAAGACATACTGACAGCCATTTTTCCTGTCCGTCACACCGCTGAAGAGGCCCACGTCTTTACCGGAAAGACAAAGCCATTTAACCATTCCTATCGTTTCAAAAACACATTCATGTGTTTTCCTCAGCCATTTTTTTTTTTTTTCGGTTCTTCTAGTTTTTCTTATTTTTGATTTGCGTGGGTCGTCGTCCGTTTCTTTCCTTGTCAATTCATAACGGGACCCCCCCGTTTTTCCTGTATTTTCCGTATCTTCTTCCGTCATTCAACGTGCCCCACGACCCACCAGTTGTCAGTCACGTGTCGGTAAAAACATCCACAGTTGGCCAGATCTGACGATGTCGCTAATACATCAATTTATCGGCCGTCAGCCCGTGCACCTCTCGCGTCACGTGTCACTGGACAAATATAATGACATAGTCACCAGGGGTGCCTTTTACAGTTGGTTAGAGGCACCGTTGTGTTTTCCAGATATCCGTGGTTGCGTATAGATAGATAATGAACACATTCAAAGAGATATGAAGAGACTGATAGATAGATAGATAGATAGATAGATAGATGGAAAGTACTGAATAGTGCGCTAGATATTGAATAGATAGAAATTGATCAGGCTAAAATAGATATGAACAGACTATATATATATATATATATATATATATATATATATATATATATATAAACACACACAGATACATAGTAATAAATAGTTCGCTAGATATTAGATACATAATGAACAGACTAAAATTGATATGAACAGACTGACATAGATACACAGACTGCGATATATATATATATATATATATATATATATATATATATAGATAGATAGATAGATAGATAGATAGATAGACATGAAAATACTGAGATACATGATACTGAACAGTGCGGTAGATATTTAATATATAGATAATCAACAGACTAACATAAATATGAACAGACTGATATACATATATATATATATATATATATATATATATATATATATATATATATATATATAGATAGATAGATAGATAGATACATACATAGATACATAGATACATAGATACATTGATCTGCGCGCTTTATATGTCAGCTGTGTGCATTTTCCCTGATAAAGAAATTGATGTGTTCTTCGAAAAATCATTCTTTCACGTCAAAATATCCTAATTTGCCACAAAGACTATCTATGAGCTTCCTGAAAAATGATAAGTCATTACAAATAATTGACTAAAATATAATTTGACTTTATTTTTTAAACAATATCATTGATAAACAAAGATGGAAATTATTTATGACTCAGGCTAATAGCTAGCTAGACTGATAGATATATTGGTGGTCACAATCTTAGAATTTTATATAGCTGATGCAGTGTTGATAGCAGACACAAAACTAAATGAACTCTGGGAGAAGGAAGTAAAGCAAAGTGAGAAGAAAGGACGAAACATCAATTGTAAGAATACAGCGTGTATGGCATTTAGCAAAATGAACAGCCCAAGTTGCGAATTAAAAATTGGAGGTATGAGAATTAATCGAGTACAGCAAATTAGGAAGTGTTTTAACAGCGGACGAAATATGCGACACCGCAGTTCGAAGGCTCATTGGTACAACGAAGGATGCCATTCCAAAGCTAAGCAAAGTATTAAGATTTATTTAGAAATAGAAATGGCAGTGAATGCTGGACAATCTCATTCCAAATGCAGGAAAGAAGGCAATAGAAATGGGAAATCTGAAATTGTCGCCTTTGTTTATCATCACTTGCCTTGATAAATTCAAATGAGGAAATGCGTGGGCAAGGACTAAGTATTATTCAATTTGTCATCTTTACAGATTTATTCTGAGAGCTTTCGCATATTTGTCGACATAGAAAGCGAAAACACACTCTTACGCCCCCAAAGAAAACGTTACTATCCCCCCCCCCAACCAAAAAAAAAAAACGCTTACACAGAAGTCTGTTTGAATTTCATGTAATTACACATTATTTTCCTTTGTTTATTTTATGGTAAAGTCGAATGCCGAAACTTACTATTTTCCGATTGTCTTTATTCATATATATATATATATATATATATATATATATATATATATATATATATATATATTTGGATTTGTATTCTATGCAATTTATATGCTCTGTTATAATAAATACATTGAGCTCTTTTTGTGGATCAGTTTTAATATTTTATATTATTATGATTCACTTCGATTATATACCAACGGATTATATATATATATATATATATATATATATATATATATATATATATGTCTGATTAAATAAATTACAAGCATTATGTCTGCTTATTTTTAGCATAATCCGTTCATATTCACGGATATTTTTCCGTGTATTAAAATCAAATGATGCAAGAAATGCACTGTAACAGTGAAAATCACTTTTATTTCCGAAGTATTTTCCATCTCTTTCTGAGTTCCTCAGCATGAGAAAGAGATGGAAAGTACTTGGGAAATAAATGTGATTTTTCACTGTTACAGTGCATTTTTTGTATCATTTGATCGTAAAACACAGAAAAATATCCGTGAATATGAACGGATTATGCTAAAAATAAGCTAACATAAGGTTTGTCCTTTAATAAAGCAGACGTGCCTAAAAGAAAATTTGCTGTCTAAATACACACACACACACACACACACACACACACACACACACACACACACACACACATATATATATATATATATATATATATATATATATATGAGTTCCATATATTTACTATAACGGACCATATGAATTTTACAGCTATAAACAAATAATTATCTTAACATGGCTGTTTTTTGTTGTGTATATATATATATATATATATATATATATATATTAGTTTCATATAATAATTTTATAAGTGTGTACGTGTGTGCGGGTTTTGAACATACAGAGAGAGAGAGAGAGAGTGAAAGAGAAAGAGAGAGAGCTTGTTTTGCATATTTACGTGCCTAAATGTGCATGTCTAATCCGACATTTACCGACTTTCTGTATGCATATCAAGTGCAAACCCATATATATCTTTCTAAAAGCTCATCAGAGTGTGTGCACACTACTTCAACCCAGCCCTTGCTTCCCGCCATAAAGACTCCTTTATTACCTGTTGAGTCTCCAAAAGCGTCTTCAGTGTCGGTTTAACAGTCAACCATTGTTGGTTGCCCTCTGTTGGCGGATGTGGGTGTAGGAGTTGCCTGCCTTGTTCTGACAAGCCGTTTTCCTTAGTGCCGACAATGAAAGTAACACGTGCTCACCATCAATCAGAGGCCAGCTTGATTCGGGGCGTCGATAAAATCGGACGCGCGCAATAACTCAAGAAGTTCCAGCTCTACTTAACAGCGGAGATAAAGGATAATAAACCGTAGCACTCAGCCGACGATATCCATCCGCAATGTACTGGTATGCCGACATTACGACTTGCTGGTATCGTCTGGGTTGTAGAGTTTAGGGTGGACGATGGAAGTAAATAAAAGAGATGGGTGTTTAGTTGCTTTTTGATTAATGGTCAAGATAAATTAGAGGTTAAAGCCAGCAACAGATAAGAGGAGGATGAGGAAGACGTCATGAGCAGATTAGTGGTGAAAATACGGGAAATGAATGTTAAGGAGAGATCGGGACCAGAAGTAAATGATGGGGGAGAATTGAAGAAAACGAAATAAGGGGAGGTGGTGTTGTTTAAAGAAACGTTAACGATTCATAAGTAAGAGAAAAAGATGGGGAAAATGAGAAACTGAGAAGTAAGCCAAAGGAAAAAAAAAATAATGCATGAGAACAAAAAAAGAACAGATTATATTTTCTTTTTATCTCTCCAAACAATGTCCAAGTAAGATTAAGTCATTTAATAATTCTTCTCTGCTATATCTATTCAAGTTATGGACGAACATGGTTCTCCATACCTTCCTATTTTTGGCAGATGGAAATAACCCTCGAACCCATGTCTCTTTTCTCTGCTATCATCCATTCACGCAAACATTTTCACACTGATTTTTACTTTTTGCTTTAAACTTATGAAGAAGGGGCATGAAGCAAGAAAGAAAAGAGTACTGAACTGTTATGTAATATCAATCCTCCTATAGAGTATTGAATCCTGGACAATCTCCACAGATGAAGAAGAGACTTGAAGCAAAAGAAACAGAGAAAAGAGTAACTGAAATATTATGTAATATCAATCCTCCTAAAAGGCATTGAACTTTGGATAATCTCCACAGATGAAAAAGAAACTTGAAGCAACAGAAACAAAGAAAATATTTCTGAACTGTTATGTAATATCAGTCCTCATATATAGCATTGCATTCTGGATAATCTCCACAGATGAAGAAGGGACTTGAAGCAACAGATACAAAGAAATGACTATTGAACTGATATGTAATAACAATTCTACTATATGGCATTAAATCCTGGACAATTTCCGCAAATGAAGAAGGCACTTGTACACACAAAAACAAAGAAAAGACTACTGAACTGTTATGTATTATCAATCCTCCTATAAGGAATTAAAATTTGGACAATCTCCACAGATGAAGAAGAGACGTGAAGCAAACAATACAAAGAAAAGAGTACTGAAATATTATGTAATATCAATACTTCTATATGACATTGAATTTTGGATAATCTTCAAAGATGAAGAAGAGACTTGAAGCAACAGAAACAAAGAAAATAGTTCTGAATTGTTATGTAATATCAATCCTCATAGATAGCATTGATTTCTGGATAATCTCCACTGATGAAGAAGAGACTTGAAGCAACAGAAACAAAGTAAATAGTTCTGAACTGTTATGTAATATCAATCCTCATATATAGCATTGAATTCTGCATAATCTACGCAGATGAAGAAGTGACTTGAAGCAACAGAAACAAAGAAAAGAGTATTGAACTGATATGTAATATCAATCCTGCTATATGGCATTGTATCCTGGACAATTTCCGCAGCTGAAGAGTCTTGAAGCAACAGAAATCGGTATAGTCTATATAAATCTCCTGTACCTTTCTCTATGTGAGTGTGTGTGTGTGTGTACGTACGTACGTGCGTGTGTGTAAACCCCTGTCTCAATTGTTATTCTACATGTCTTGCATTGTTTCATTTTGAAATGGGCAAACTCGTTTCCCGATTTTTGTTAGGGGCTTATGGTTCATTTTAACGGATCTCCAAATAAATATTAACTGTTGAGATTCTTACAATGTCATCAACACATTGTCCTCGATATATTTTATATTGTTAAGTTTATATACGCCGATAATCAATCTTGGTAGGAATTCTAGTTCTCTTGGGAAGAGATTGTGAATGGAGTTCCGACCAACCATAGGGAGGATGAAGAATGACCATGTGCAGAACCTCTTCCTAGACGGGCGTATTATGGCTTCAGTCGCTTCCCCATCACGCTAACCTAACTTCCCTACGTCACTTTTATGAGTATTTTCACGGTGACTGTTCTGACGTATTTCTTTGGTATTTAATCGCAGTACTAGATTGGCGGTTCGGTCTCCTTTCTTTAAGGTTGAAATTGCTAGTTATAATCGTAAGTTCAGTGTTTATTCTTCTCTTGCCCTTTTAGTAGAGCTCCCTACGGAATATCTGCTTTCCTGCCGACTAAGATTTTCACGAAGTTAAAACGACGTCAGTCTTCATCTTCTGTTTCCTCAGATCTTTCTCTTAGTTTGGTTTGGTTTGTTTTACGGCATATCAACTTCAATCGGTTATTTAATGCCGACAATATTCCTACTGCTGACAGTTTTTCTTCAAAATTGCATTGCTGGTAATATTTTTTTTTTCCAAAATTCATTGCTGGTCATATTTTTGTTCTAAAAATGTATTGTTAATATATTTTTCTTCAAAAACTCATTGCTGGTAGTAATCTTTTGCAAAAAAAAAAACAAAAAAAAAACAAACTATTTTTACACTAAGGTCACAGCTGGGAGTGTAACAGGTGTTACCACCCCGGGTCAGGGTGAATCTGTTAACACCAGCAATTAAGAGGTGGGTCAACGCTCCTCAAAACCTCCTGATCAGAGGCCTTGCTGTTGGATGTAGTTTATCGTCTTACCCAGGACGTGGATGTAGTTTACCCGCTTACCCAAGACGGAGAGAAACTATTTTGACGGTTCTAAAAAGGATGAAAAAATATTTTTTAAATAAAATATCCTTTGACCTTTTCTCTTAATAATAACCTAATTATTTTGAAGATAAATCTTTAAATGTTTTTTTTTTTTTTTTTTTTTTTTTTAGTCAATACACATAACCACGCTCCTCAAAATCTTCTGATCATAGGCCTTGCTGTTGGATGTAGTTTATAGGTGTACCAAGGATGGCCTGCTGTTGTATTGTCTTCTATTTCATTCACTTTCAGTAACCCCTTGCGTCTTAATGGCTTTATTGCCTTCCTAGGGGCGGTGGAAGGTGTTGAAGTGATTTTTAAAAAATGTTTAATTTTTTTCTGTATTGTTAGATGACCTCATTCCTTAATTTTTGTGAAGGTCGACTACGTCTTAAAAGGACACGAGAGAGTGGTACAGAAAAGTGTGAGAGTTTGTAAAAAGGAGGTAACTATCTATCATGTATAAGTTCGCCTTTACATGTGAACCATTCTGTGAAGCTTCATATCGCATTCCTTGTATGTATGCGAGTGTATGCAAACCTGATGTTTTTAGTAGACATGAACATGTGTTCATAACATGTTTATGTGTCTATGTGTGTGTGTATAAATGCGTTAGATAGGATAGTGAGTCTTCTATAGCCAAAGGCAAGTCACTGAATCTTTGACGCATGCGTATATGCGAACAGTGCATTCTGTCTGGTGATTCACTCCTACGGTCACGGAGGAACGAATCAGAAGCCTTGAACCAGAATGATTTCCAGCCGAGTTGATGACAAGAATAAAATCAGTATTCTAGGAGGATGGCTAAGTTGTCAGAAATGAATCGAGGTTGCCGACAATAAAAAAAAAAACGAAAGAAAGATAAGATGGAAGCCAAACACAAAGCGCGCCTGTGCAAAAGGCCAAGAACGTACGAATTGATGTTCATACGGCGGAAGACACGAATGACTAAAGGTCAAGCTAATCAAATACACATGCAAGGACGCCAAGACGAAGAAATCCCTCTCGCCTAAAATCACTTGATTGGTCGTGCACGTACATGCAAAACGTGTCAATGTTTCTGGTGTGGAGAAAAAATCAAATATTTACTGGTACGGACAATGATAAAATCGAAAATACAGAAAGAAATTAGGATTGAGTTATATATATATATATATATATATATATATATATATATATATATATATATAAGTCTGTATGTATGTATTTACGGCGAAAAAACTTCGAGGGCGTCCTCATAAATCTTTTTACCAACTATGAACACGCGTCAGAAAACATTATATTACATCACCAACTTTTATTAAATCCATTCGTAAAAAAAAAAAATCTAACATATGTCTATCTACCAGAACTGATGTTTACGTAAAAACGTTCATAAATCAATATGCGGACAACCAGCAGACACAAATACTGTCTATTAGACAGATATACACACGCACACTTACGAATATACATAATCATCTAAGTCTCACATAAACAAACTAGAATTATGATACACTTACATACATAAAGCAATATTTACGGTTTTTTTTTTCAATTAGGCTTGGAATGTGTGAGTTTTTGGAGCTTCGAAAGGATGCGTTGTCTTCCCTTGTGTCCAGGAACGCCATAACTTATAGTAACGCTGCTTAACAAGTCAATGAAAATCAAATAACACAATAATAAGAAATATCAGGATTTATTTCCTTTTCCATATTTCATTCTCTATATATTAATGCATGTTTCATTAAATAATATAGACAAGTTTTGACTATTTATTTTAAGTAAGTTCCTTTCATATTGTCTGATAAGATTAATAACATTATCACTGAAAGACAAAAGGAAATCACCATATTGATACATGTTTAAATCC